TCTTTTCTTGAAACATATATTGGCATTTCTGTCACTGCTCATTGCAGCAATATTGTTCTCCATATGCTCTTCTCATCAGCATCTCATCGTTATTGGATAAATATGTCTCTCATTATGCAGAACATTATTTTTGAAGTATGGAATCATTATTTTGTTACATAATTTCCAAATTTGGACCTTTTGCAAGGATTTATAACAATCTTCAAGAATTACTGTAATTAAAGGAGAACTTTCTACAAAGAGAATTAATTAGATCAAAGAAGCATTTAAATGTAAATCATTAATCCGCACATTACAGGAAATAGTTAGTGGCTATGTATAGTTCATTTAATTATACTTGGTTCAATTTTGTTTTCTCATTACATCACAATTTATTCGGAATTAATTTGCAATTTCTTGTCTAATGTGACTTCTGTTTGCTTAATATAGCAGATATTTTCACGAGCGTGTATTTATATATAAATAAAGGTTTATTAATGACTGCAGCGTTAATTAAACTGTGGGCTCTGCTGTCAATTAGCTGTGAATTTTGTTGCTCTGTGGATGCAGCCCAGAAGGTCTGTGCTCTGAAAACGAGAGGTAGAGTGTCAAGGTTTTGAATGTATAAATTTATGCAGTATTTTGGGGTTGTCACTTGCTGCAGGGGACCAGGTGACCCAGAGGACAGCATGGTTTAGGTTCCCTTGTGAAGAAAAGTTAAGTTCTCTAAGTCTACAGCCAGTAATTGGTAGTGGGAACAGAAATCTCCCAAGATTCATAGCTGAAGGAAAGAAGGTCTAGTTGTTGTGTCAGGTTTTAGGATGTAGAGGTTTTGCATAAGTGGTTTGCAGGTTTTGTAATCCTTATGTAATGTTTTAGAGTAGTGTGAGGGTAGGAAAAGATTTATTGTCTGTGATTTGGTCCGCATTATGTATAAAATTACTATAGAAAGCCATGTTGATTTTTGAAGTTGTGTTTTAATACTTTGATAGTATATTAATATCTGTACTCACCTGTTGTCAGCAGCACTAAAACACTGACCTTTTAATATTTCACTGACATTTTTATTTTACACTGCTGAAAGTACATATGTTTTTAACTTACATTTTTAGTAGTAGGTTAAAATAAGCTACTTAAGGGCTTTTCCTCTCCCCCACCCCCACCCCTCTCTTTAATCAAGAGACTTAATTTTCATTCTGATTTTCATTCTGCCACCAAATAAATGTACTTTTGCCTCAGAATCTATGCTATTACTATCCAGGAATAGCAGCACCTGTGTTAAGTTTGGACTCGGCTAATCTTTTGGAATCTTTGAATACTGGGTTATTAAGCCAAAGTGTAGCTATCCAAGAGCACATCTGGCTTGCATAGTATTACCTCATTTGTATAAGGTAGTGCTCCCAGTTTCTCTTCTCTGCTTTGTTTTCTGTTTGCTGGAAAGGGGAATTTGATACAGAGGCTGTGCTGGCAACAGAAAAAGTTGAAGGAACTTAAGTGTTTTCTTTCTTCCTGTGCTGAAATTCTCATTAGAAGTAATGGTTTTGATACATAGCCAGTTATAGTAAATAAACTAATCAAATAAGAATAAGAAATTCTCAGCCAGCTGCGTGCTTGATAAATGTTTAGGCTCTACCAGCTATTCTGTCAGGTTTGCTGCGTGCAAAGAAAAGGTAGGGTAATATTTATGTTGGTAAATTTCTCAAGATTACTGTTATTTCTTTCAATAAGTGAAATTACCTCTTCCTAGGAGGATTGTTGTGCTACTTATAACAAATGAAACGCTGTCAGAGTTCATGCGGATAAGCAGCTGTTTGCTGAGGAAGGCAAAACAACTTACTGGTTTGCACTGAGAGGGGAATGTTGTTTTCTGCCTTGTAATTTAGGTATGTTCAACCCATGCTAGATGGAAGGAGATAAATCTTAACAATACTGTCATCTGAGGAGTTTGTAAGAAATGGGATTTGCAGTGTTTGCTTTGCTTCTATTTACACCTGTAAGAGAACGGTGTGAGAAGAATAGTATTTTGTTCTCAGTATTTGTTGTTAAACGTGTTGCATGCGTGGGGAAATAAAGACATTTGGAAATGGCAACCTTGGGTTAATTAAATCCATCTGCTGTCTGACTAACAATAGTAATATTGTATCCAGGGAATCTCTTACACTGAAAGATTTGATAAAGCACACAAAATTTTCTAATAAAGCACTCTTAAAGCCAGCAAGAGCTCAGGGAACTGGAGAGAAAACCAGTTACTCCTAGAGAGAGCTCAGTGCTGTAAGGCTATGGTTCATGCAGGAATGTCCCAGAAGGATGTGACAACCACATTTGTTGTTCCCTGAGATTCAAAATTGTAACTGGCAGGGAAAGTAAAACTTGTTTACATCTCTTGCTACATGAAGCTGTGGTTTATGGGGCTAATTTAAATGTCTGTTTCTGTGCTTGCAAACAGCCAGGATACAAATGTTCATTAGGAAAGAAGCTACACAGGGTGCAAAAATGAGCTTTCAGAGGCATAGTGATGACTCTGAAGCTGAAGGAAGACAGACTTTTGATAAGTATTGGATGGAAACCTGATCCTATAGAGAATAATACCTCTTTCTAAACAGAAAGTATGATAGTTACTTTTTATTTACACTTCTCTAAGTAATATCAAGATGGGGGGAAAAAGTATTACAACTTGCTGTATGCATTCACTCTTTGTATTGGTCATAGGTGCGCTTTTGTATTTGAGAAATTACTTTTGTAGCTGTAAGTTAGGTTTTGGTAACGTATTCCTATTTTCTGGAAAAGAAGACAGAACATGTAGTTTGAGTTTATTGAAATAATTACTTGATTAATTTGCATTTCATGTCCTCAAACACTTCTGCAAAGCAGGGTGAGGGTGGGTGGGGGAAAACTTGAGACATTCATGGAGACCTGGGTGCTTTTAAAGCAAGGCAAATATAATGAGTGTCAGATGAAGAACAGTTTATTCTATGTGAATTTGACAGATGGGTAAAGCAAAACTCTGAGAGATTAACATTGTTGTTCAATTTAATGTTTAAAGCATACAAAAAAGAATGGCTTAGGAGAATTGAACATGGAGGATGGGTTTGCATGATCTACATTGGAGGAACTTGTTTAGGCTTCCTTCACGTTGAAGTTGCTCTAGTATGTGATTTATCTCAGCTTAAAGCAGGAATTTAAAATAGGTCAGATGAATCCCTCTCTGAAACGTCTGTTTTTCTGCTCTGCATTTAAAGTGACCATCTCAGATATGGACAGCTGAAGTTTGATTAAACTAATGCCTTTCTCATTTTAAGAGCCAAGTTAATTATTGCTTTTCATAGATGCTAAAGACAATTTGTTAAATAACAGATTTCAAAAAGTATTTTTTTCATACAGTTATGCCAGTTTGAGTGTAGAAATTTACGATGTGTTTCTAAACAAGTGTGTCACATGTTAGTACCTTGAAGATGTGTCCTGAGGCCTGAATCTGCCATATATTCTTTCTAATTCCTCTCTCTCCTACTGTTTTGGCTGGCAGGGTGTGGGAACACGCACCCCCCTCCTCACACACAGTGCAGGAGCTGAGCACAGGCTGAATGCTGTGACGTGCTTCGCTCCGGAGAGCTTAACCTTGAAAGTGCAGAATACACAAGTGAGTTTGAAAATAGTAATTGGCCTCGTTTAAAACATTTTCTGCAAGCAATTTAGCTTATCAAACATTTAAGTGAAGAAAAAAGAGAAAGGTTTGTCCTTTTCTTACGTTCTGTAATAAATTTGCTACTGCTAGTAAGCATTGTAGTGTATGCTAGGAGTTCATCGTGACTTCCTAGCAGGTGAATTAACAGATGTATGTTTTGTGGAATCACCTATAATTACACAGTAGCCATGGTTACCAGGTTAAAGAAATCATGTCCTGATGACTAACAGAAATAGATTGCAGCAGACTGGTTTGCCTTCAAGTTGCTTAGTAGCAAACTATTCAGGAATAAGTTTGTGAGGTCTGAGAACATATGAGTAACAAACATAAAAGCACACTCCCTTTGCTGAACTGATGCAGAGTCTGCTTTTTCAAATCCTTGCTTTGATAAAAAAAAATCACTTTTTTTTTTTAAAGTTGGGGTTTGCAAGTATTTAGTTTGAGAATTGGGTGTAAACCACATATTTGCAACCAAACTATTTAATGGAAGCAGTTAAAATTTTGAACGAATATTGCGAATATTTTTATTTTGATTTAGTATTGGACGAAGTACAAACACAGATTTTTCCCATTCAATGAAAGTTGTATTCCCTTCATTTTAAATCTAACACTTAGAATGACTTAATGGAAGTCTTTATGTTTCCTTTTAGATGCTTTAGCACTTAGAAATTACAGAAATGTAGATGAATTCAAGTGGGAAAGACAGAACTGGGTTTAAGGGCAAATTAATGTTTTACTGTTTTTGGTGGACCCATTTCAGATCTTTCTAGTATGTATAGAATCATAAAATCATTTAGATTGGAAAAGACCTCTAAGGTCACCTATTTCAACTATTAATGTATTGCTTAGAAGCATCAAAAGTTCTTGAGTACATTTCCAAAAGGGAGTGCAGATGTTGATGGGCTCAAGTCCTGTTGACTTCAATGTAAAGGACAAAAGATTCAGTGTTTCAAGTTTCCTCATGGTTTAGAAACCCAAACTCCACTGAGTTTTGTTAGATTTAAGGCCCAATATGTTATTCTTGCTTTATGAATTATGATGTACGTATCCTGTATTTAACTTGCATGTAAGTCCTATAATGCCTGTGTATTACTCTGTAGAAGGAGATTTTTTGGCAACATGTTTTTTCCCTAGTGTATGGATGCATTTAGACCTGGTCTTTTGCACCAGGGAAGCTTTCCTAGCGATCCTGGTTGGGCCAGTGTGATAGACACTTAAGTTTAAAAGGCTGAGGATATTAAGACTAAAACTTTCTGATCTTTCTTCGTTTCGTATTCCTGACTTACAAATTCACAGCTATGAGATTGTACTCAGCAGGTCTGCTCACCGTGTCTTGCAGAATAACCAACCATGACCACAGAATCGGGATCAGACTCCGAGTCCAAGGATAAAGAGCAGGATCAAGAGGAGAGCCCTGCGCAGGAAGGGGCAGCAGAGACCCAGCCGCAGGAGCAGCAGCAGCCGCAGCAGCCGCAGCAGCCGCAGCAGCAGCAGCCGCCGAGCGAAGAGCACCAAACCGCGCTCGAGCAGTTCTCGGCTGTGGCAGCGCACAGCACGCCAGTGAGAAAAGAGCAGGTAAGGCAGCCCATGCACACACGCTCTCTGCACTCAGCTGGCTGTGTGCCCACCTACTGCTCCTGGGAAATAACCAGCCTGGCACGTTAGGAGTGCAAATATATATCCAGATACGCACGGCAGGGCGTTTGATGGGATGCTGTAGATCTGGGCTGGCTGGTCTTTCGTGTTTAAAGAAAAATAGTTCTCGTGCAGAATGTTTTTAAGTTCACGGCAGCTATTTCTGCCCCTAGTGCTTAAATAGGAGGGCAGTCTCATTAACTAAGAGGGAAACATCTTCAACCTTGCATTTGCATTAGATAGTAAACAGTGTCAGTTTTTATCAAGCTGAAAATGTTTTCAGAGTTCATTCCTTTTGACACCTGCTGAACACTGATTTCATGCTTGCTTGTCTGCTGTGTGAGCCATGAAGAATCTGTGATGCCTTAAGTTTCTCCTGGGTCTGAAATGACTCTGTTATAATTACTCAAGCTATTCATGTAATAGGTTTCAGAAGAGCTATTGCGCGCTTTTCCATTTAGTTCATTGTTGCACTTATTAAATTTGCGGAAGCTGCTTTCTTCTTTCCGTTAATAATTTCCAGTCAATAGGATTAACAGGCATTTTTCTTCATGGGTAAGTGACACACAATTAATGAGGTACCTGCAAATCGCTTCCCTTAGCTCTATAAGGTTATGACCCTCATATGATCACATTTACCTTTGTAAGTAATGTACCTTTGGAGAGTGGAATAAGCCAGTCGTAGCTCCTCCTCTTCTCCATCCTTTTAAAAATTTTGGCTGTTTGAAGTGTGCTCCTGTTCTTTTACTTGGTTGGGGTAGACAGTGCTGGCAAAGCAATTTTGATCTCTCAAATAGATCAGAAGTTTCCTGTAATTAGTTTGGGGAAAAGAAGAAAAGCTGCTTGTCCAAAAGTGATAGGTGTTGAATAAACTGGTCGTTGATTAAAAGTGTAATTCTATCAGTCTTAGGAGTAAGTATTATTATTTATATAGATGTTTTTCCAGACATCTTCAGTAATCTTTCCACCTCAAGTTTCTTTTCATGTTAAAAATGTAAAACAAATAAACAACAGCAACAACAACTACACCAAACCCCAAACTACAATATAGGCCCAACCCCAAAATAACCACAGACACACAAAAAAACCCCCAAACCAATTAATTTAGACACCAAGCCTTTCTATGTGTGTTTAGAGGTGTGAGGTGCCTTTTTCCCAGAGATCACCAGTGAGATTGCTTCTGTAGAAGGCAAGATAGAAGAGCTGGGTTAGTGAAAGGGGTATGTGACACCTTCCTGCTGGGATTACCAGACTGAATCCAAACGCCCGTGGTGTAAGCAGACTGCCAAGTCCAACTGCACTGATAGGCCCAGTGTATTTCATAGTGGCTTAAGTGGCTGTATGTCAGGAAAGGAGCACTTAAATGCAGCACTAAGAGACAAAGCTGTTTGCAATAGTGTCATTAAAAAGCCAGAACCTGAAGGATCTTGCTCCCTGTCTTGCTGTTCATCATTGCAGTGAGGGAGTTGTTTTTTCCTCTTGCTTGTATGAGAGAACCATGGGAAGGAAGATTTAAGTTACCAATCTGTGACAGTCACTTTTCTTTGTCATCCTATGCACATGAAACCCTCTGACATTTTATTGTAGATGAATAACCTTTTCATATTGAGATTAACAGGTATTAGAGAAATGAGCCCTTCCTATCAGATGTAGTGAACTGCTGAATCCCATGACTCCAGAGGCATCCTTTGAGAGGAGGTCCAGCTTTAGAAGGGCTTGAACATACTGTGTCATACATGAGAGAGATTATGCTCAAAAAAATGCAAACCCTGGAACAACTTCTGCTGCATTAGAATTTAGTCCTCAGCACTTAAAAAATATTTGAAAAACAGAAAAACCACAAAAGAAACAGTGCAGAAATACCTGGGAGAAGAATTTAGGAGAAAATAAAGTTATGCTTGCAAAGTACAAAATAATTCTCTGTGTGCATAGGTCTTTCACTGGCCATTTTTTTTTTTTTTTCTAGATTCCAGTATGTCAGATTTCTTTAGGAAGAAGAGACTTAACACAGTCTGAAAGTAGCTCAATGCCTGAACATGTCAGGATAGTTTGGGGGAATCTTCTCTAATAGTTCTTGGCATGTTTTGTTCTCCAGACAAATGAGAGGAAAACCTTTTTTACCTAGACGCATTACTCTGATCATAATGTAAATAGGAATCTTAATACCAAAATAACCTCAATAATATTTTTAATATTTTTAAATAAGCAAAACTCTGCAGTAGTCTTGATATACTGTGTCTTTATGAAGGAAAATAATGACTAGTCCATTGGGATTCACATAAATTGCTTGCAGGGTGGTATGGTTCTAAGGTTTAAATGGATGATGGGTGTCCTTGTTGTGGATTTTTTTCTCAAGGAGCTTTTCTGTTTTCTTGGAAGAGATTAGTTCCATGCTGGGATATTTTGGTTGCTTCTTGTTTGTTTTTTTTTTTGAGCACAGTGCTAACTTTCACTTGAGAAATGTAATGAGCCACTGGGTAAGGCAGTGCATTTTTTTCCCCATCACTGGAATTACTTTTTTTTACTGACATATGTGCACATGCACCTTTCCTGGCAGATTTCTTTTGACCAAACATACAGAAATCATTGCAGCCCTTCTCCCTTCTGCCCACCAGCAGCAGTGCAGCCCTATGCAGAGGCCCAAGCAGGAGGCATCTTCAGTGTTGTTTATTTCTCATTGCACAAGGCTGGACCACTTGCCAGCTGGCTGCAGATGTGGTAGAAGGCAAGCTGGCCTCAAGCCTTGCTGTGAGCCCAGGGGGACTCTGCCTCTTCATCACAGCTGCTGTGAGTGTTAAGTGCTCAGGAAACAGCTGATCCACTTACATACACTGTGCCTCTATCTCCCACCAGTTTTCAAGATATGTGAGGACCTTGATATCCAGGCACAGAGCTGGTGTCCATCTGCTGGAAGGAGGAAATCCTCTTGTGCTGGAGCTAGACAGGGGAAGAGATGGCTGGTGTTAGGCTGCTCCTGAGGGAGAACATTCACAGCCCCTGGGGATGTGGTAGATTTTGAAAGCAACTCTTGCCTTTTTAATCTTTTAAGCCCCTCTTTCTTGCAGTTTCCCCATCCAGGAAAGCCCAGGAGGCCATTGCTGTGTACTCCTTAGAGGTGAAGGAGGACTGTGAGGCTTTGCCACACCTCTCTGTAATTTGCTGGGCTTTGTTGGGAGCTGACACTGTAGGGCTCACAGCCAGCTCCAGTGTGTCCTTTCCCCCGTTGTCAGAAGGCAGAGGAGAAACTTAAAGCTTGTTTTTATGAAATCACTCAGGGACAGTACCCCACGATTTAGAAGTACACTGTTGTTTTAGGTTATATGATGCAACATTGTTCTGGTCTCAAAGCAGCTTAAAGCCTCTGGATGGATTTGCTCCATTCTTGTGAAGTTTTATTATATACAATGAATGGAAACAGACTTGCGGGATTAATTTACAATTTATTTCCACTAATGCTTGTTGCTTACTACACTGAAATAATTCAGAGCCAGAGCAGGTTGGGTTTTTTTGCTTTGTAGTGAGATAACAGAAAGATGTTTTTATTTAACTTAAGCTTTAGCTGAGGTATTACTACACTCCTATTGAGGTTTTGTTTGGAGCCTATCAGGGATATAACTGATGAGAAGGGTAATGACTTCAGCTCAGTGCTGCTGCTAGGAAGGGTGAAATGCTGTAGAGCTCTTCTGGCTTTCATCTAGTGCTGTGGAGAGGACTGTGGGCTGTGCTGCATCACAGTAACTTCAAATGACCTGACCCTCAGATAAACCTGAGCAAAACCAACCATGGTCATTTGCTTCTTGCCTCTCTTCCCTGCTGTATATTTGTCTTTCAAATAGCACCTACTTCTCTCCAGCTTGAGAGACTTACTGGGCATCAGCAGAGAGCAAAATTCGTCCTCTCATCCTGTCCATTTAAAGCTGCACATTAAAGTTGTTTGGCCCCTCACTTCTGTCGTGTTTTCTTAACCCTTTGCTTGGGTGCTTGGGGATCCTTTCACTCTCCCAGGAACGTAAGCATCCCCTTACGAATTCACACTGTTCAGGGGGGATCTATGCCCTCATTCAGGGACTTTTTTCCCACTGACATCCAAATTAGTGCAAATTTGATGGAGTTCTTCTATTCTGTATGCCACTATGGAAACATTGTATCATTTAAGAGGTAGGGGACTTCAAAGTAGTATCGAGAAAATGTAGGAGTATTTGTTCATCAACAGAATTCACTGATTACGCAGTATTTCCAAAACACCAAAAAAAAAAAAAAAAAAGTAAAAGAAGCCCATGTGGGATTTTGTACCTGTGGAAAAAGTAGAAGCTTTAAAATACTTTCATGAATGCCCCTCCTTCATGGGTGTTCTGTACATTTTGGAGGGAGAATGGAGGGCCAGAAGGAATATGGGAAATCTTTTCAGTAGACTCTGTCCTGCATCAGGGTCTTCCTTGTCCAAGCCCCCAAAAGGCTCACTTAAATGCTTCGATGCAGCATGTGCAGTGAACTGCAGGGCATGATTGGTTTGTCTTACCTCAAAAAATATCTTTCTTTCTTTCTTTCTTTCTCTTTATAGGCCACAGAGAAAGAACAGGAGTTTGCTGCTGCGAGTGCAAAACAGCTGGAATATCAGCAGCTAGAGGACGACAAGCTCTCTCAAAAATCTTCATCTAGCAAACTTTCCAAGTCTCCTCTAAAGATTGTCAAGAAACCGAAAAATATGCAATGCAAAGTGACGCTCCTGGATGGATCAGAATATGCGTGTGAAGTAGAGGTAATTGGCTTTTTGTCATCTTTTTTTTTCTTTCATTCTGTCAGGAGGTAAATGGTGAAAATTGTATGAATTTTATGAAAAAGGATGAATGGCTTGATATTTTGCCAGTGCCAAGCACAGAGATGCTTTCGTTGTTTTGTCTGGAGGTTGTTGAAGATGGTGTGCAGATTTGAGCTAGGTGAAGGATTCTGGCCACTCCCTGAACACAGCCAGAGACTCTGGATTAATCTCCTGTTGGCACATGCCACAGCAGAATGCAGGAAACAAAGTATGGCAAACAAAGCCCAGAAACAAAGAAGGATTTTGATCTCACTGGGCTTTTCTTTTCCTTGGTACTTTACTGAGTTGAGTCTTCCATTGAGTCATTGTCTGTACGGTAATTCTGACTATTGTGAGATTAGTGCAGGTATGAGAGACACCCTGGGCAAGCGGTAAAAATGTCAGGGACAAATAGCAGTGAGAATGGAGAGTTTTGTGTGCTTTTCCATGATGTCTGTGAATTGTAGTTGTGTCTGAATGTTACTGGCAAAAAGATGCTGTGATTTTTCTGTAAGGAAGCTTGCCTTCCCTGCTGGGATTCTGACAGGAGCCTACTTTTGGGAGGGATAGTCTTCACTGTCACTTAAAAGCCAGTCTGTGCCTGTGGGCAGACACATGCAAAGAGGATGCCTTCAACTCCAGAAGGCCCCAGAAAAGCAAAAACTGAGCACATTTAGCATCTCAGAGTAAGCGTGAGAAAATTCAGCATTTCAGGATGGACCCTTTCTCCATTCAGTCATTTTCATCGAGGTGATTTTTGGGCAGTGGACCAGCCTGTCCTGTTTTAGGCCAGAAGGTCATGCACACAAGACAAGGCTGAGCCTGACCAAGCACTGACTGTGGAGAAAGAGTGTGTCTTGGAGGGTCTGGCTAAGCCAAACCTCCTTTGGGTAACTGTGGGGTTCCACAGAGAAGAAAGGACACCCAGGGAGAACAGAGAAGTATAAAGGCAGAGATAAAATAGTCTTCAGGCTTGAAAGGAAAATCCACAGGAGCATGGGGAAGGAGAAAGGGCGGAGAAAAGGAGTACCTGACCGGGAGACAAATCATGACATCTTTACAATCAGTTGTGCTCAGCCCATTAATCCTTCAGCTGCTCTCATTTTAGGTGCTTTGGAGATGGAAGGTGAAGAAAAACCTTATTGATTTTTATTTAACCTTGGAATTACAGTTTGGGTCAAATGTGACGCTAGGAGTGAGCTGCAAACAGATAGCAAATTAGCCATCCATGTGGTTGAGTGTCTTTTAATTTCACCAGCCAAGTCCCATGTTGTTTCCTTCAGGCTAGGACTAGCTCTCTGAACACATCCTTTGTGACTATTAAATGGTCATTTCTTGACCTGCAGTCTCAGTTTTGTCACTCAGGGATAGTGTGGAAGCCATTATGCTGAAGGAATGACTCATGCTGGCTTTGATGGAAAGAGTCAACTCATTGCAGCTTTTGCCACTTGCTTGTAAAATGTGAGTCATTTTTTGGAATATAGTCAAGTGAATCTTACCAAATAAGATTTCTATGGAAATCTTGTCTAGCAGGCTGAACTTTATTGGAATCTAAGATGGAGCAGAAAGGGAGATTTGTTATGTTAGATTTATTCCACTTATGCAAAAAAATACTGTGAATAATACTTTCTATAGGAAATTTCACTCTTTCACTAAACTTGAGTTCTCTTGAAGTGTCAAAATGCTGGCATATGGAAGCCATCATGTTTTATTGCTTGTCAAATTTCTCTGCTTTGCAAGTACTGAATGGCTCTTGAATAATGTCCAATATAAGTTTTGTATGAATTTTTTCTACTTACATTGCTGAAATATTTTCAAGTTGTATTGACTGTCATCAGTAATCATTTTATCTGCTTCTAAGATTATCAGGCTTCCCAGGCAGAATGTAATATTGATGAGAATAGAGCTCCTAAAAGGATGAATTTTCAAATGACAGAGCTGTAAGGCTATGATGATGAGCAGACCATGGGGTGCATTGAAACAAAGTTAGTTAGGAGGAACAAATATTTCAGGGAACGAGTGCAGCTGGAGGGGTGCATAAATTTACATATCTTAAACTGTGTGATTCAGACTTTGCATCCTTCCTAAGTAGTAGTATCACTATGCTGTATGTATTGATAATACAACTGCAGGTGCCTCTCCAGCACAGCCCACTCCAGCTCATGGGAATTCTTTGCAGATCCAAAGAAAGTCCACTTCCTATGTGCATAAAGTTAGCTACAGCGAAAGGATGCTGAGTCCCCCCAAGGACAAATGATGTGACTTTCGCTGTGCTTTTTCGCCAGAGGAGTAAAAAAGTATTCCCAAAGGGAGTTAGTAGGGCAGGGAAACTGAGGGTCTGTCTCAGGAGGTATCTCAGCAAATTGTGTAACAGGCTGAAGGTGAAGTTCTACAGAAGTTTTGGGTTATAAAGTTCTGTGTCAGTTACACAGAAACTCAATGCTGCAGCATGAGAAACAATCTATCATATCTCAAACAAATGATGCCATATTTTAAGGATCACCTTCAAGTGAACTCACTGTGTCAATTTAAATGTGGGGAAAATATATATGCACAAGCATACATACATACAGATATGTATATATTCTTCTCTGTCAGAAGCACACAAAGCCATGTAGTTTTCACAGAATCACAGAATGTTATCAGTTAGAAGGGACCCACAAGGATCATTAAGCCCATCTCTAAAGTGAATGGCCGATACAGGGATTGAACCCACCCCCTTTGGTGTTACTATCACCACGCTGTAAGCAAGTGAGCTAATCTCAGTTCTTTTATTTATAGTATACTAAGGCACCCAACAAATTATGGAGGTCAGTAAATTTGCCAAGACTGATTCTTTAAAAGAAAAGGGAGAGGGACAGACAACATGGAAATCAGATATTTAATACTTCCATTCATTGTGTTCAACCTACATAACCACTGCATCTTTCAGAGTGGACAGTGACCCAAGGTAGGCATATGACAGTTTCTAGATGTGAGTCAAAAATGTCATCCTGTGTTGTCAGCTCCTTTCTTTCTGCTCTGTGTGTATTGTGCTTCTTTCTACCTGCTGAGGGCTACAAAGCAATGTGATCTAGAAGGACCAGAAATTTAGAAACCTAATTTTGAGCTAGAATAATACCTCTTGTCATTGAATCTTGATTTGGCAGCAGGCCAGGTATTTATCTCTTCAGAATTGCATTCCCTAGTCTGGGAGTTTAGGATCATTATAGAACCCATCAGTTACTCTATAAAGTGCTTTGCAAATGACAAATGCTTTTTATGTATGTTAAATATTAATGTAATTTAAAGGAGCCTATTGCTCTCCAGTAGAGCGCAACCTGCAGCTTATCAATTATGTGTTCATCCTGTTAATGACCTGGCAGCCAATGTGGCATGTACTCACAGATTGAGACACCTCTGAGGCAAGTTTGCTTAATCCATTATGCCCTTGCTGTCCTTTGTTTCAGAAGCCCCTCTTTCTTATTCCATATTTAATGCTGGACATCCTCACTGTCTGCTGCTATATCTTTCAATCTCTCTCACATTCAGTGCTTTGCATTTGTGACACTGGGGTTTTTTCATGTTGTATGAGATGTATGAGGCAAAGTGTAGTGGAGATAACTTCAAAGCTGAGGTTAACAGGGGGTCATCTAATGTAGTCTCCATTCAGTGAAAGGATCTTAAGCAAGTAGCAGGCAAAAGCTTTCTCTTGAGGCCCTGCAGTATTACTGCTGTGCGCTCTATCTGTCCTGACCCAGAAAGTCTTTCATGCAGTAACACATTACAAGCCAAAACCAGGTTAAGGAGGTAACCCAACCTGTTCGTTCATCCTCTTCCAAAACCATAAACCACCAGTGTTACCATCTGTACCCCTGATGCTGCTCTTCTTCAGAAGCCTGCAGATGGTAGTGGCAGCCTTATTTCAGAGGGGGGTTTCCTTTCCAAGGAGCCATAGCTACCTAATGGTGCTTTCCCTCCCCAGGGAAAGCCGTTGGCTTTTGGAGAAGAGATATTTTTACATTGGCATTGTCCCTGGTACTCTGCCAAGAAAAACAGCCTCAGGGTGGCTGTGTGTTTCTCCCATGTCCTGAAGAACCTGGAGACTTCTGAGGGGAGCTGGATCACAGGAGTCAATGCAGTCCATTCAGAGGGACACAGGGTGATGGTTTCCACCTTGATGTCCAGCCCTGCTAGCAGTGGTTCTCCTTAGGATGTTCACTGTGCTCTCCCAGCCAGCATCGGGCTCAGAAATGCTGCTTGTCAAAGCATCCAAGGCCTGATCTGTGGCCAAAACTGCACTTCAACGTGGTAGCTAAAGATTTCCCTTTTAAGCAGGCTAGACTTGTGCTTTGCATTCATTGGTTTGAAGAGCTAAGGAGAAAGCAAAATCCAAAACTGCAAATTAATCTCAGATAACCTTAAAAAAGGCATTGAACATGCTAGTTCAAGTTTCTCCTAAGATTCAAGAAAACAAGCAAAAATAACTTATTTCTGTGTTTCTTCAGCTTTAAGTAGGAGTTTTCAAATGCTGTAGTACAATTATGTTTTTCTAGGATTTATTTCTCTTCTTGTCCATATCTGTCTCATCTCAATTTTCTGTTATCTAGACCACTGCTTTTTAATTAAAAGACGCAAGTGGAACAAGCTGTCATGCTCTCCATTACACATAGCCTAATTTAAAGCATCTTCCTAAAACAAGTTGGAATTTGTCTTTGTTTCTGCTCTAAACATATACATGCTGTCACTCACAATGGGAAGGCTGAAAGCTGTAACATAATCTGTCTAAATAAATGGTAAAATAATTAGATTTAATTCTGAAAGGCTCAGCTGTCTGACGCCATTGGTAATTTATACTCTTTCATCATTCCTGTACCACTCAGACTTTCTTATCATGCAGGCCACCAGTGAATGAAAACAAATGTTTCCATGGCAGCCTGTCTGTGGCATCTCTGCAGCCCTACATCAAACAGCAAGCTGAC